CCAGGAGCTTGCATGTTCTAGGAGCTTGCTTGGTCCAGGAGCTTGCCTGGTCCAAGAGCTTGCCTTGTCTAGGAGCGTGCCTAGTCTAGGAGTATGCCTAGGCCAGAAGCTTGCTTGGTCCAGAAGCCTGCCTTGTCCAAGAGCTTGCCTGGTCCAAGAGCTTGCCTTGTCCAAGAGCTTGTCTGGTCGAGGAGCTTGCCTGGTCGAAGAGCTTGCTTGGTCTAGAAGCCTGCTTGGTCCAAGAGCTTGCCTGGTCCAGGAGCGAGCCTGGTCCAAGAGCTTGCGTGGTCCAGGAGCTTGCCTAGTCCAGGAGCTTGCCTGGTCCAGGAGCATGCCTGGTCAACGAGCTTGCCTGGTCCATGAGCTTGCCTGGTCAAGGAGCTTACCTGGTCCAGGAGCTTGCTTGGTCCTAGAGCTTGCATGGTCTAGGAGCTTGCCTGGTCCAAGAGCTTGCCTAGTCCAGGAGCTTGCCTGGTCCAGGAGCTTGCTTGGTCCAGAAGTGTTCCTGGTCTAAGAGCTTGCCTGGTCCAGGAGCGTGACTGGTCCAAGAGCTTGCCTGTTCCATTAGCGTGTCTGGTCTAGGAGCTTGCCTGGTCCAGGAGCTTTCTTGGTCCAAGAGCTTGCCTGGTCAGGAGCTTGACTGGTCCTGGAGCTTGCATGTTCCACGAGCTTGCCTGGTCCAGGAGCTTGCCTAGTTCAAGAGCTTGCCTGGTTTAGGAGCTTGCTTGGTCCAGGAGCGTGCCTGGTCCACGAGCTTGCCTGGTCCAGGAGCGTGCCTAGTCCACAAGCGTGCCTGGTCCACGAGCGAGCCTGGTCCAGGAGCTTGCCTGGTCTAGGAGCGTGCCTAGTCCACGAGCTTGCCTGGTCCAGGAGCTTGCCTGGTCTCGAAGCTTGCCTGGTCCTGAAGCTTGCCTGGTCCACGAGCGTGCCTGGTCCAGGAGCTTGCTTGGTCCAGGAGCTTGCCTGGTCTAGGAGGTTGCCTTGTCAAGGAGCGTGCCTGGTCCAGGAGTGTGCCTTATCCAGGAGCTTGCTTGGTCCAGAAGCCTGCCTGGTCCAAGAGCTTGCCTGGTCTAGGAGCGTGCCTAGTCCAAGAGCTTGATTGGTGTAGGAGCTTGCCTGGTCCATGAGCGTGTCTGGTCCAGGAGCTTGCCTGGTCCAGGAGCTTGCCTTGTCTAGGAGTTTGCCAGGTCCAGGAGCTTGCCGGGTCCAGGAGCTTGCCGGGTTCAAGAGCTTGCCTGGTCCAGGAGCGTGCCTGGTCCAAGAGCTTGCCTGGTCAACGAGCTTGCCTGGTCCAGGACCTTGCCTGGTCTAGGAGCTTGCCTGGTCCAGGAGCGTGCCTAGTCCAAGAGCTTGCCTGGTCCAGGAGCTTGCGTGGTCCAGGAGCTTGCCTGGTCCAGGAGCGTGCTTGGTCAACGAGTTTTCCTGGTATAGGAGCTTGCCTGGTCAGGGAGCTTGCCTGGTCTAGGAGCTTGCCTGGTCCAGGAGCTTGTCTGGTTCAGGAGCTTGCCTGGTCCAGGAGCTTGCCTGGTCTAGGAGCTTGCCTGGTCCAGGAGCTTGCTCAGTCCAGAAGCCTGCCTGGTCCAAGAGCTTGCCTGGTCCAGGAGCGTGCCTGGTCCAAGAGCTTGCGTAGACCAGGAGCTTGCCTGGTCCAGGAGCTTGCCTGGTCCAGGAGCATGCCTGGTCCACGAGCTTGCTTGGTCCAGGAGCTTGCCTGGTCCAAGAGCTTGCCTGGTCCAGGAGCTTGCCTAATCCAGGAGGTTGCGTGGTCTAGGAGCTTGCCTGGTCCACGAGCTTGCCTGGTCCAGGAGCTTGCTTGGTCCAGAAGCCTGCCTGGTCCAAGAGCTTGCGTGGTCTAGGCCCTTGCCTGGTCAACGAGCTTGCCCGGTCCAGGAGCGTGCTTGGTCCACGAGTTTGCCTGGTTTAGGAGCTTGCCTGGTTCAAGAGCTTGCCTGGTCTAGGAGCTTGCCTGGTCCAGGTGCGTGCCTGGTCCAGGAGCTTGCCTGGTCCAGGAGATTGCCTGGTCCAGGAGCTTGCCTGGTCCAGGAGCTTGCCTGGTCCAGGAGCTTTCTTGGTCCGTTAGCTTGCCTGGTCAAGGAGCTTGCCTTGTCTAGGAGCTTTCCGTGTCCAAGAGCTTGCCTGGTCCAGGAGCTTGCTTGGTCCAGTAGCCTGCCAAATCCAAGAGCTTGCCTGGTCCAGGAACATGTCTGGTCCAAGAGCTTGCGTAATCCAGAAGCTTGCCTGGTCTAGGAGCTTGCCTCGTCCACGAGCATGCCTGGTCCACGAGCTTGCATGGTCCAGGAGCTTGCCTGGTCTAGGAGCTTGCCTGGTCGAGGAGCTTGCCTGGTCCAGAAGCTTGCCTGCTCCAGGAGCTTGCGTGGTCCAGGAACTTGCGTGGTCCTGGAGCTTGCCTGGTCCAGGAGCTTGCCGGGTCCAGAAGCTTGCTTGGTCCAGAAGCCTGCCTGGTCCAAAAGCTTGTGTGGTCTAGGAGCTTGCCTGGTCCAGGAGCTTGCCTGGTCCAAGAGCGTACTTGGTCCACGAGTTTGCCTGGTTTAGGAGCTTGCCTTGTCTAGGAGCTTGCGTGGTCGAGGAGCTTGCCTGGTCTAGGAGCTTGCCTGGTCAAGGAGCTTGCATGTTCCACGAGCTTGCCTGGTCCAGGAGCTTGCCTGGTCCAGGAGCTTGCCTTGTCCAGGAGCGTGCCTGGTCCAGGAGTGTGCGTGGTCCAGGAGCTTGCTTGGTCCAGAAGCCTGCCTGGTCCAAGAGCTTGCCTGGTCCAGGAGCGTGCCTTGTCCAAGAGCTTGCCTGGTCCAGGAGCTTGCCTAGTCATGGAGCTTGCCTTGTCAGGAGCTTGCTTGGTCCAGGAGCTTGCCTCGTCCAGGAGCTTGCTTGGTCCAGAAGCCTGCCTGGTCCAAGAGCTTGCCTGGTCCAGGAGCGTTCCTGGTCCAAGAACTTGCGTGGTCCAGGAGCTTGCCTGGTCCAGGAGCTTGCCTGGTCCAGGAGCATGCCCGGTGAGGAGGAACTGTGGAGGGAGAGAAGATGGGAGGCAACGACTGAAGCTGCAGAGGCACGGGCACAGGAGCGGCTGACTTAGTGGCTACCGAAGCAAGGGCGACGGACTACTGGAGTAACTGGCCCCGCGGCTATAGACGAGCGGCAGGAGCAACGGACCCACTGGCGACTGGTGCAAAAGGCTCACTGGCTACCGAAGCAAAGGCGGCGGACTACAGGCGCTGCAGGCGACACGACAGCTACCTTCACACAACCTCCTCCAGCTGCCCCACACCCTCGACACACACCCCCTGCTCAAACCCTAGTTCCACTCCCACTGCACCCCCCTTTCACACACCCCTTGCTGCACCCTAGGTTCACTCACACCCCACCCCCTAGCACCACTCCGTCGACTCCCACACACCCAACCCCCTCAGCGGCAGCTGCAGCAGTGAGAGACAAAGGAGGAGGAGGAGCTTGGGAGACCACACACCCGTCACCCCCTACTCGCCACCCCCAGACCCTAACACAGGGCAGGGCGGGACGGCGAGTAGGGAGGTTACGGGGGGGGGGGAAGGGGGGGGCGACGCGTGGCCTCCTAGGGCGCCAAAACAGGCGGCAGAAGGGGCGACGCTCGCCCCCCCCCCAGGTCGCCCCTCCCGAACAGAGGGGGGGGGCGGTGCACGGGCCCCCGGTGCGCCGCAACAGGCGACGGAGCATGGCCGGGGCGGGGCTGGGGCAGGGTCGAGGCAGGGCCGAAAGGGGCGGCGCCGGGGCTGCAAGTGGCTGTCAGGCATATATGCTATAGTCTATGTAGGTTGTAGTGGGGCAGTTCATATGGGGTACAACACTTTAGGGTTTGCTACTTGTACTCCTCATTCTGCTCAATGCACTCATTCTCTCGTTCTAATCTTCACATGGTATAGAGCCGGTTCCCTCGTGGGAACTGTTCCTAGGGCCCACCGAACTTTTTTTTTCCTGTCGGGAGCGCGCTTGGCCCCTTCCCGGAGCGCGCTTGGCCCCTGCCCGAGTCACGCCCCGTGTCGTTCCCCCTCGCGGCCTCTAGCGGCCCCTCTTACGGCCCCTAGTGGCCCCGTTGCGCCGTCCTTACGGCCCCGTCGCGCCGCCCTTGCAGCCCCGTGGCGCCGCCCTCTCAGCCGCCCTGTCGCCGCCCTTTCAGCGGCCCCGTCGCCGCCCCTTACTGCGGCCCCGTCGCCGCCCTTAGGCGGCCCTGTCGCCGCCCTTTAAGCGGCCCCATCGCCGTCCCTTTAAGCGGCCCCGTCGCTGCCCTTAGGCGGCCCTTTCGCCGCCCTTTCAGTGGCCCCGTCGGCGCCCCTAACTGCGGCCCTGTCGCCGCCCTTCAGTGGCCCCGTCGCCGCCCTTCCGAGGCTCCGTCGCCGCCCTTTCAGCGGCCCCGTCGCCGCCCACCCCTTTCGCGGCCCCATCGCCGCTCTTTCAGCGGCCCCGTCGCCGCCCTTCCGCGGCCCCGTCGCCGCCCTTTCAACGGCCCCGCCGCTGCCCTTCCGCGGCCCCGTCGCCGCCCTTTCAGCGGCCCCGTCGCCGCCCTTTCAGCGGCCCCGTCGCCGCCCTTTCAGCGGCCCCGTCGCCGCCCTTCCGCGGCCCCGTCGCTGCCCTTTCAGCGGCCCCGTCGCCGCCCTTCCGCGGCCCTGTCGCCGCCCTTTCAGCGGCCCCGTCGCCGCCCTTCAGCGGCCCCATCGCCGCCCTTAAGCGGCCCCGTCGCTGCCCTTCAGCGGCCCCGCCGAGCCGCCTTTGCTGCCGAGCTGCCGAGCCGCTGCGCCGCCGAGCCACCGAGCCGCTGAGCCGCCGAGCCGCCTGTGCTGCCGAGCCGCCGAGCCGCCGAGCCGCCTTTGCCGCCAAGCCGCCGAGCCGCACTACAGCCGAGGCGCCGCCGTCTGTCGGCCTGCCCGGGGACCGCCTCACTTGCCTGGTAAGAGCAGCGCCTCTGCCACTGCACTACCCTGCCCCACTGTACTCACTGCCTGTCTACTGCTGTCATGGCCACCCCTAGTGTTCTCACCTTTGACGCTGAGGGTCGGACAGTTGACTTTGAGGTTTGGGTAGATGATTTGCAGCTTTTCCTACAGTGCGATGGCGCACACGATCTCTCCCTGTTTGACCTCACTTCTGGTGCCTCTCCTGCCCCTGCTGCTGATGCTGACGCCACTGTTCGCTCTCAGTGGGCCACGCGCGATGGTGCTGCTCGCCTTGCTGTGCGCCGCCACTTACCGACCACTGAGCGTGCACACTTTAGCCAGTACAAGAGTGCTCAGACCTTGTACGACGCTGTAGTTGCACGCTACTCTTCCCCTGCCACTGCCGCACTGAGCCGCCTCATGCTACCGTACCTCTTCCCTGACCTTGCTGCCTTTCCCACAGTCGATGACCTCATTACGCACCTCCGCACTAGTGACACTCGCTACCGCGCTGCGCTTCCTGCTGAATTCTGCGCCAAGAACCCCCCCCCCCATGTACATCACCCTCTACTACATAGTCACCCGGCTCCCTGACTCTCTCCGCGTAGTCAGGGACCACTTCCTCTCAGTTTGCCCCACCACACTCACCGTTGACCTCCTCGAGAAGGCCCTCCTAGCAGCAGAGAAGAGCATAGTCGCTGTAGGAGCCTCTCGTGGTGACCCTCGCACCCCCGTCTTTGAGGGGTGTTCTCCCTCCCCCCTCTTGCCCTCTGTTGCCTCTGCTGCTTCGGCCGACCTCGTTGGTTTCGAGTCGGTCGGCGCTACGTCTGCCCCGAGCGGGAGACGCCGCACCGGCAAGGGCAAGGGGGGCAAGGGCGCTGGAGGGGCTGGCAGGGGCAGTGGAGGTGGTGGTGGAGGCAGTGGAGGGAGTGGGGGTGGTGGTGGGAGTGGTGCCGGGGGTGGCAGCGGCGGCGGCAGCAGTGGAGGCGGAGGAGGCGGCGGTGGTCGCGGAGGGAGCGGAGACGGCGGAGGAGGCGGAGGAGGCGGAGGTGGAGGAGGCGGCGGAGGCGGCGGCGGCGGCGGCGGCGGCGATGATGGAGCCGGTCGCGACTCTGCGCAGAGGAGTGGCTCAGGTGGTGGTCCGCGCCATCAGCAGCGGAGTGGCGTGACCCTGTCCCCTCAGCAGCTTCGTGAGTGGTACACTGCGCGTCAGCGCGGTGGGGATTTTGGTCCCTGCACTTACGTCCTCCGTACCAGCGACCGAGCTGGTGAGCAGTGCGGTGGCCCGCACTCCACCCAGCGCTGCTTCGGTTGCCTGACGGATGCGTGGCGTCGCCAGTTCCCTGAGGCATCAGAGATCCCTCGCTGGGGAGATCTGTCTAGGGCGGGGGTTGCCATCTTTGATCTTGACTATGATGCTATCCTTGCTGCCTTGTATTCTGTGACTACTAGTGTTGAGGGTGACTGTTACCTGTGTGTACCGCCTGACCCGGGCATTGAGGCCGCTGCGCTAGGTGCTGGTGAGGCTGCTGCTCTAGGTGCTAGTGCGTGTGCTGCCCCAGGTGCTAGTGCGTGTGCTGCCCCAGGTGCTAGTGAGTCTGCTGCCCCAGGTGTTGGTGAGTCTGCTCTCTCAGGTACTTCGTCGGCTCAGGCCTTCCACACCTTCACCCTTGACTCGGGTGCGTCCCGTGTCAGTAGAGCTACACTGTGAGATCCCCGATCGATCCTAGGGGGGTTTACAGACGCGTTTTCCTGGGGGGTTATGGGCGCACTGACCCGTTACTGAAAAAATCCCTTTATCCCAATGGTCTAGTGGTTGGGATTATGACATGGTATTAGAGCGGTCTTGGGTTCGAATCCCGGTGTATGCACATGTAGGCCGTTGCCACCCATGGAGGGGTGGTAGAACTGCCACCCTGGGGCGTCAGGGGGGAAGCCTAGGAAGACACAGGGAGCAGCACGAGGGGACAGCTTGTCCGCAGACAAGTCGCGGACAAACGCCCGAGATCCCCAGACACGGAACGCAGACAGATCGCCGACCTTCCCCGTCCACAGCAGAGCTGGGGAGGTCTCCGGCCGGGAGACCCTGGGGTGAAGGTTGAGCTGATGCGCCGCGTATCGAACCGCAAACGGCCACAGAAAATGGGGGGCAGCCGCATGCATCATGGACGTACGAGCGACGTCCATGACCATGCTAATGCGGCGCTCAGAAATCCCATTTTGCTGTGGAGAGTCCGGAAGCGTAAAGGTCTGGCGGATGCCCCGTGCACGACAGTAGGCCCGCAGAAGGCCAGAGGCGAACTCCCCACCTCGGTCAGAGTGCAGACGCAGAACAGGAAAGTCCGAGCCGAAGCTCCTCCTGAGCTGGAGACGAGCTGCGCGGATCCAGTCGATCAACACCTCAGTGACATCACCCTTGCTGCGCAAGGGGAAGACTGTGGTGTAACGCGAGTATTCGTCAACCACCAGCAGGAAGTAGCGCTCGTGACCGTGCCCACGGACGCGGGCCGGGCCCCACATGTCCATGTGAAGCGTCTGCAGAGGAGCCTCTGTCGGGGGAAACTGGGAAGAGTGAGGGGCAGCCCGGAGGCGCCCCTCGACACAGGGGACACAGGAAGGTCCTGGTCTCGAAGAAAGGGGAGGGAGAGACTGGGGGAGACCAGAAACAAGGACACGGGAAGCCATGCCCCGAAGACGAGGCAAGGAGGGGTGGACAAGTCGGTGGTGCCACAGGAGAGTCTCGTGAGACAGGAGGCGACACGAACAGGGGGCAGACGCAGGACCAGACCGGGACGCAGCAGCAAACACCTGACCCGACGCAGCTACCTGGCCAGACGCAGGGACAGGAGGAGACTCAGTGGTCAGGGTGTAGAGGCTCGACCCCGGCCGATGCGAGAACGTGGCCAGGTGCCGGCCTGTGCGTGCGTCCGTGCAGTGGGTCACCCGCTGACTCGCAGGAGTAAACTGGTGAACCCCCGCATCCTCCAGGTCAGCACCACTCACCAAGTTCGTCGAGAACGAGGGGAGGTACAGACCAGACAGGGTGCCCGAGGGGGCAGCCGGACACGGGAGGACAGTGGAGAAGTGAGAGAGGACAGGACCCTCAGAGGGGTCAGCCAGAGAGACTGCAACCGGCCGACCAAGCGGCGTGAGTGTGGTGCGGTCTCGAAAGAAGGAGCGAGAAGCCCCTGAGTCAAGTGTGAAAGTGAGGGAGGCCGAAGCCGACGCAGTACCTGAGAGCGCAGTCTCACCAGTACCTAAGAGCGCAGACGCACTGGCACCTAGAGCAGTAGCCTCACAAGCACCTAGCGCAGCAGTACCAATGCTCGGGTCGGGCTGGAAACACCGGTAACAGTCACCCTCCTCACTAATAGTCACAGCATACATGGCAGCAAGGATAGCATCAAAGTCAAGATCAAAGATAGCTACACCAGCCCTAGACAGTTCTTCCCAGCGGGGAATCTCACTAGCCTCGGGGAATTGCTGACGCCAAGCGTCCGTCAGGCGGCCAAAGCAGCGCTGAGTGGAGTGGGCACCCCCACACTGCTCACCCGCGCGGTCGCCGGAACGAAGGACGTAGGTGCACGGACCAGAACCCCCACCCCTCTGACGCTGCGTGTACCACTCACGGAGCTGCTGGGGCGGGGGGATGTCCCGCGAACGCTGCTGCTGCTGCTGCTGCTGGCGCTGACCACTACCAGAGCCGCTCCGCTGCGGGGCACCACCCCGACCAGCTCCACCCCCTCCGCCACCGCCGCCTCCACCTCCGCCACCACCGCCGCCTCCACTCCCACCGCTGCCGCCGCCACCGCCGCCTCCGCCGGTGCTGCCACCACCACCACCGCCCCCGCCACTACTCCCACCGCCACCCCCACTCCCTCCTCCGCCTCCACCGCCACCTCCACCGCCCCCTCCAGCTCCACCCGCGCCCTTGCCCCCCTTGCCCTTGCCAGGGCGGCGTCTCCCGCTAGGGGCAGACGCCGCGCCGACCGACTCAAGACCAAGCAGGTCGGCAGCAGCAGCAGAGGCAACAGAGGGCAGCAGGGGGGAAGGAGAACACCCCTCAAAGATGGGGGTGCGAGGGTCACCACGAGAGGCTCCTACAGCGACGATGCTCTTCTCCGCCGCCAGGAGGGCCTTCTCGAGGAGGTCGACAGTGAGAGTGGTGGGGCAGACTGAGAGTAAGTGGTCCCTGACTACGCGAAGGGAGTCAGGGAGGCGTGTGACTATGTAGTAGAGAGTGATGTACATGGGGGGGGGGGTCTTGGCGCAGAACTCAGCAGGAAGGGCGGCGCGGTAGCGAGTGTCACTAGTGCGGAGGTGCGTAATGAGGTCAGCGACAGTGGGAAAGGCAGTGAGATCAGGAAAGAGGTACGGTAGCATGAGACGGCTCAGTGCAGCAGTGGCAGGGGAAGAGTAGCGCGCAACTACAGCGTCGTACAAGGTCTGAGCACTCTTGTACCGACTAAAGTGCGCACGCTCAGTGTTCGGCAAGTGGCGACGCACAGCAAGACGTGCAGCAGCATCGCGGGTGGCCCACTGAGAGCGAACAGTGGGGTCAGCATCAGCAGCAGGGGCAGGAGAGGCGCCAGAGGTGAGGTCAAAGAGGGAAAGACCGTCCGCCCTATCGCACTGTAAGAACAGCTGCAGGTCGTCGACCCAGACCTCAAAGTCAATGGCTCGACCCTCAGCGTCAAAAGCGAGGACACTAGGGGTAGCCATGACTACGACAGTGGAGCAGTGCAAGCAGTAGGGGAAGGGCACGCGGTGACAGCGGTACGGTGCTCACCGGGCAGGGCAGGTCGGGCAGCTCGGCAGTAGGGCGGCCCGGCGACTCGGCGGCTCGGCTGCTGGGCGGCCCGGCGGCAGGGCGGCTCGGCTCCCGGGCGGCTCGGCGGCAGGGCGGCTCGGCTGCTGGGCGGCTCGGGTGCAGGGCGGCTCGGCGGCTGGGCGGCTCGGCTGCACTGCGTCTCGGCGGTCCGGCGGCTCGGCGGCTGCTGCTGGGCGACTCGGCTGCTCCGGTACCGGGCGGCGTGGCGGTCGGCTGCTTGGGCGGCGGGGCCGCGTAGGTGAGGGCGGCGGGGCCGCGTAGGTGAGGGCGGCGGGGCCGCGTTGGTGAGGGCGGCGGGGCCGCGTAGGTGAGGGCGGCGGGGCCGCGTAGGAGAGGGCAGCGGGGCCGCGTAGGTGAGGGCGGCGAGGCCGCAAGGCTCAGGGCAGCGGGGCCGCGATAGTAGGGCGGCGGGGCCGCGAGGGAAGGGCGGCAGGGCCGCGATAGCAGGGCGGCGGGGCCACGATCAAAGGGCGGCGGGGCCGCGAGAGCAGGGCGGTGGGGTCGCGATGTAAGGGCGGCGGGGCCGCGACAGCAGGGCGACGGGGCCGCGATCAAAGGGCGGCGGGGCCGCGAGAGCAGGGCGGCGGGGCCGCGATGTAAGGGCGGCGGGGCGGCGTCAGCAGGGCGACGGGGCCGCGATGTAAGGGCGGCGGGGCCGCGACAGCAGGGCGACGGGGCCGCGAGGTAAGGGCGGTGGTGCCGCTAGGCGTAGGGCGGCGGGGCCGCGATGGGTAGGGCGGCAGGGTCGCAAGGCGTAGGGCGGTGGGGCCGCGATAGCAGGGCGGCAGGGCCGCGATGAAAGGGGCGGCGGGGCCGCGATAGTAGGGTCGGCCGCTAGGGCGGCTCGGTGAGAGAATGGCCCGAGGCGCGACTCGGGATGAGGGCGCTTCGGGCAGGAAAAAAAATCGAGTGGTGGGCCCTATGCGCAGTTCCCACAGGGGAACCTGCTCTGATACCATGAGAAGAATAGAACGAGAATGAATGAACTATGAATGAAGTGAGTACATATAGGAAACCCTAATTGGCTTGTACCCCCTATGGGATACCCCACTATGGCCTACACAACAGCATAAGCTATATAAAGTTCTAACAGTTCCTACGCCTCATATCAGAAAACCTCATATCAGACTAGCCTGGTAAAACTAGAGAGGGATTTTGGGTTCAGAAGAATTTTCAATGTGAGCCTGATATGAGGTTAGCTTGACACGAGGCGTAGGAACAGGCCCTACGATATCAGGAATTTTCCCTTGAAATTCCTGATTTCCAGGGTTTTTTTTTAACCTACACTGATTTTCCAGTGTTCAGCTTTTTGAGGGGCTGATTTTTCAGCCTTCACCTAGCACATGACTGTGAACTTTCAGCAATTTTTTTCTAGTGACACTGATTCCACTACGTTGTAACGAATCCGACCCTGAAAGCGATTCCTACACGGTTCGTGTGTAGTTGCCCGGCTGTACAGGGAATATCAGATTCCAGCGGTGTCAGCAGGGCGTGGCGGTGAGTAGCAGACAAATTTGCCTCGTAGAGGGATGCGTTGTTGGCGCGCGTGGTGCGATGATTGGCCACTTTGACAGCATTTCCTGATTTGGCCAATTACAGGGTTGCAGCACAGCGATGCTGGCAGGCAGCGCAACGAGGGATTCATGCCCATGTGAAGCACCTGTGGTCCTCTGGCCCGTTTTGTCTAAGTCGTGCTGGCAAGCACGGATGCATCCACGCCGCCCAGCCGTGCTGCCAGCCATCCAGTCTCCCACCCCAGTCTGCTCCATGCTTTCCTTCCATCTAGCAAGGGTAAGGTTGCATTGCGTTGCTGCCTGGTGTACCAAGAGGCAGTCAGCCGTGTGTCCTCTCTTCCTGGCAAACCTCCATCGTTCAGCTAG